TAACAATTGGCGCGAAGTTAAATCCCACTCCGCAACAGTTGAGTCCAGTTGAGTCTGCTGAATGCGATTGTCGTGCTCAGTTTTCCAGCTTCATTCCCCACTATAAAAAATCATAGAAATGCTTGATCTATAACCTCTGTTACACGGCACGCTTAATCGGGTTTAATAACAACTGTAGTTATGAAATTGCCAATCATAGCTGTTCCTCGGAAGAATGGAACGACTGTGATTGGCCAGCGTCAGAACTACGAATGTTATTATAGACCGTGTTCAAAATTTACTGCCTGCGCTGAAAATACTACAGTTTACGTTATGTGCACTCTAGATTTGTAGTACAAGCAGTCAATTTTGAAACATAGCCTCGAGTGCCATGTAAATGTAGTCACTAGCTCTTATCGTTGATTGGATAACTTCCCAAAAAGAAAATAATAGTAACTTTAATCGTATACAAACAACTGATCTTTTTAAAAAAAGGTAAAAAAGAGCTAAGATGCGTGCTTCTCATAAAGAAACATTTGGGCTGGTTTCATCAAAGCCATGTAATCGGCCGTGGAACTGACTAATTGCGTTTGCTGTTTAATAGAATTGACCACTTATGGTTGACAGTTAATTACTGATTCGGTTTAATCGAGTTAGTGAAACTAGTCCTTTGTATAATATCAACAATTGGGGCCAAGTTAAATCCCATTTCTTTAATAATAACACGTCGTTACAAGTGTCGTAAATAAAAAGCATCCATTATATACCTTGAAACCTATAAAGACATAATATTGCAAGGATAGTTACTTTTATAGCCGTTTATACTCTGTAATAATACATACTGTAATAAGGAAAATAATACAGCAAAGAACAAAAGTATGCAGATGACCATCATCTTAATATTTATTTTGATATTTTGTAGAATATTGATACAATTTACAAAAGAAAGAAAACTTTATCATGTTATTATTTATTCAATTTTAATCCCTGTGCCTTGCGGCTTGGGATGGCTTCCGGTTACAATATAGTCTCATTGCATACAATAATTATATAAACTTAAAACTCATTTATAAACAAAAACATAAAAATATAAGTACTTATACAAACATAAACTCTACTCTAGCTTTAAATACAGGTATATACTTCGAAAATGAAAAAAAATTTATAAAAGGAGGAAAACCTTGATTATTGTAATGTGTTTCTTTCTCGAGTCAATTCTCAATCGCTAATTAATTAATCGGTAGTGATTAATAATAACAAATTAATAAATTCGTTAGTAAATCGATCAAATGTGTGTGAGTGGATTTGCGTAAAGATGATACGTGATACGATTAATGTGACAGACAAAAAATTTATTATTATTCAGTGTTGGATTTGTGAGAATCTTGTCGGAATTCACAGATGTGGTATTATTCTGCCTTTTTCCAGCTCGATTACGTATGAACATCTCTACAAGATATGAACATCTCTACAAGGTATGTGAGAGAGAGAAAGAGAGAGAGTGAGAGAGAAAGAGAGAGAGGGAGGGAAGGGGGAGTAAACGTTCAAGAGAAGTGGGGGGGAGATACGCGTGTATTATCTTGACACGCGTTTCAATTGTAGCAAGCAGCTGATTGCAATCGGGCACCCAGCGTCAGACGATGAGTTGCGTCGCCCCTGCCTTCCGTACGCGACCAGTGATTTGCTAACTTTTTTCCCTTGTAATTAAAAAACTAAGCTTCGGATAAAATTTTGACTAAGGAAGAAATGTCTTAGAATCACGTCAGGAATACATTATTTTAAAGACAAACGCGTTTTCTGAGACACCCTGTATAT